AATCTCTGTCCAAATAGTCTAGATTTTTGAAAAGTTGTTCCACTTTCCCTCCTATTTTTACAGTGAGAAGTAATTGTGATTCCATCATGAAGCAGAAAGTGCTGGGAGTGCAGTATTTGGATATTGGAGTACTAACAAATGCAGTTTAAGAGGTTCTTGCATCATTATTTGGAGGCAGAAAAACACAAATCAAGTGCAGCTGCCCCTGGTAGCCCAGCCTGTCTCCCTCGGCCTGTTCCTCACACTGGACGGCTGCTGGGGCCTCCCTTTTGTCTCTTAACTCCCCAGCCTGCATCTGGCCTGCTTTGCTCAGGTTGCTTCTCCATCCTTCCATGTAATTCCTGCTTTGGGAATAGCTGAGGGAAAAGGGCTGTTTCTGTGTGAGGACAAAGAGGAGTCGGTGAGGGCTGGCTGAGGTGCCGGCCGCGCAGCCCGGCTGGGGCGCTGCGGCGGGCAGAAACGGGGAGGGCGCTTTTAGGCAGCGCGGTGCAGCCCCTGCGTCTGTCCTGCCCGCAGGAGGGTGTTTCCCAGGGATTGGCTCCTACCTCCCTTTCTGGGGCCCCAGACCACGTGGGAGAACTGTTAAAATTGCTGATAACTCACCTCTTGTCTGTGGAGACTGTTAATTTTTTACAATGGCCTCTTTTGTTGAGTGGTAACTACTGCAATGTTGACTTAGCCTTTCAAATTTGTAGAGTTCAATACTTCCCAGAACCAAAGGTCTGAGATCAAACTGTCCTGCCAGGGTAGTGACAGCAAAGGTGTAGAGCATTAGGGTGAGGCAATTAGATCTTATTCGCAGGTTTGGTGCTGGCTTTGTTAGCTGGGATGCCGTCCCGCTCTTTGCGGCAGTTTCCTCAGGTGTAAAATGGAGCCATTTCCCGCCTGCTTCCCTCATGCTATGAATTTTACAGCCCTGCGAGTTGACACAAGCTCTTCCCTTTTGATCGCAGTGCAGGCTGGCGGCAGGCCCTCCGACTTGCCTGTTGGATCTGATGCAATCTGACTGGCCCAAATTAATCAGTGCATACCAGCTTGGGAAGGTAGCAAGCTGCCTTCTTCCGTAACGCTGGTTTGCAGCAGTCCCATCTGTGGAACACGTGGGGTTTACAGTTTTCACCTCACAGCCCCATGCTCTCTGTGTGACAGTGGGAATGAATGTGTAGAAAACCTAGCCTGTTTCATGGATATGGCATCCAAATCCATTTAGATTTTGGGCTGCTGAGACTCACAGCTCGTTTGCCTCCCTCCATGACGAGCACAGCAGGGTTTTGCAGGTTTTGTCTTCCGCGGTCGTGCGATTAGGGGCCACTAATGAAAAGATTTGATACAAAACCAAGAAACTTCATACATGTAGTCAACAGACTGGGAGATAGTTGATACTTCTTTTTTTTTTTTTTTTTTTGGTAAACATCACCAGTGTACTAATTACCGTGGTGATAATGTGAAGTGTGTTTTTGTTTTTGTTTTTTGTTTTTTTCCCCCTCCAGGGAGGGTTGTGTACTTCATTAGAGGTGTGTCTTTACTGTGGTTTTGATGGTTTGGATGGCTTTGGGAGAGTGGTGTGGGTTGTTTGTAAATTGGAGATTATGTCTAAATGAATGATTGGATAGATGAAGTGGTGTTTTTTTACAGGTCATCATTTAGGAATCATTATTTGTCTGGACTTTCACCCAGATGAGTATTTCAAAGATAAGAAAAATCTCACCGCCCCTGAGCGAGAGTTTTTGCTGCAGGGGGAGCATCTGGACCGTATCCTCTGAAAGCCAAGGAGAGGTGACTGCAGAGCTTGTAGCCTGCAAGCTGTAAGACATACCATCCTTGTTCTGATTTATTTGGGACCGAAGTTGCGCCTTCGGCTCACTGATGTGCCCGTAGCTTTTGGAGCTGCGCATGTGTTTGTTGGAAGTCAGAGGCATTAGAAGATCTCCGTGACTTTTGGGCCAGTGTTGGGACCTCGATTGCGTGCAGGGGCTGATAACATCCATCAGGGCACTGCGGGGAGATCTGCGCGTGCTGCTAGCTGAATCTGGGGAGGGGAGTACAGAAACAAGGCGCTCCTTTCTAGCGGTGTTGCTTATTTTTATGCTACCCTACATGTATCTGGCACTCCAAATTAGACTAATGTTCACATTTGAGGCTACTTCTTTTTGTCTGTAGTGCTGCCAGTGCAGCTATGCTTGATCCAAATAGCTATTGACACCGAGTTTATTATGTTGCATTTAGCAAGTATAAATCTCTGCATCGCGATGAGTGGCTACAGTGGCGGGGAGGGCTACGTCACAGCTAGGATTTTGTGCTAGTCCTCTCTTTCTTGGGAAATCCTCATTATCTAATACTTATTATAGCAAATCACTGCAGATCTTTTTGGCACTGTCAGGTAAGATAAATATCAGTGTGCGCATGAAAATGGCCTGTAGCAGGAAGTGCCATGTTCCAAAAATTACCCTGATGTGCTGTTTAGAGGCATGTGCATCCTGTACCAAATGTCAGTTATCTGAGGACATATTTTGAAAAAATATCTTTATTCACATGGACAAATTAGACTGTTAATGCAAAGCTCTCTATTTTCAGTGTAGAGAGCACAAATAATCCTCTGAACACTGAGAGCTCTTTTAGTGTAACATTACACATGACAATTTGGATACTTCACGCAAATAATAATTTTCCTCTCCACCTTGATACCAGGACGAATGTTTGTTAAAATTTCTGTGTTGTTTCTAGTACTACAACAAGTACAGGAACTACTTAGTTCTTTTTGCTCCTTGCTCAGCCAAGAGGGCGGCCACCCAACCTGCCTTTAGCACGTAGCTTATTTGAATGAACCCGGTCCTTACCTGCAGGCAAGTCCTTGAGTCACAGTATTGCACTTACTGCCAGGAAGTTGCTCCAAACCCTGAGCGTTCCCATATCAAGGACTCATTCCCAAGCAGCAGGCAGCTGCGTGCAGCTCCCGAGGCGCCATCCGACAGCCTGATCCCAGGCACTGGCCAGGCTTCAGCTTTCCCAGCCCTGTCTCCGTGAGTCCCGAAGATCCCAAAGCTTGGGGACATTGTCGTGCTGGCTTAAAATCAGCAAAGATTGCTTACAGCTCAAGTGATTGAAATCGCTGGTTATACTCGTGATTCAAATTCTAAACAAGGAATTAAATAATTTGAACTTTTTGTAAGAGAAAGCCTGTTCCTGTTGATTAGGAATAGCAACATAAAACATGTGGTTTGCCGTGAACCTAGTTATATGCTTATAAAATCTGGCACGATTATATATTAATCAGAAAGCGGTAATGCATCTCACACAGCTGTGGATGTAGCTCATTAGCTTTTAATCCTTAGGAAAAGGTTAACGACATATTTCTTAATTAACATAGAATGCTTTCTTTTTACTTGAAATATGTCTCAAATGGCATGAGGATGGACGTTAGGTGTTAACTAAGATGCACAAAGCCATGGCTTGAAAATTGTAACTGTGTTTATAGAAGGTGCTCGTCACAGAAACACCTGCCACAGCCAAAACTCATTATCATGTATCTTCTGTCTTAATCTGCATGATTAAACAGAGAAATATAACTGTTAACTATAGGTTAGGTCTCAATTTGCTAGATTTTCAGTAGTTTTACTTTAAACATTGGGTGTTACTGTCAAATTGACTTTAAAGAGATTTTTTTTTTTTTAAGAGAAATGTGTTTAATCAATCGTTAACAACTTTGGTTAAAATTTATGAGATTTTAAATATTCATAAATTCTCTCTGTCTTCTGATTTACAGCTTCCACAAGCCTGGTAGCTAGAAATTATATTACTCCCTGCCTCCCTAGTAAAACTGACACTTTCACATAATGGCCAGATTGCAGGAGCTCAGACATCAAGTAACGCAGGCTGTGCTATGAGAATTTCAAGTTAGTAATGCTGTGGGTTTTTTGTTTGTTTGTTTTGTTTCTGTTTTTTTTTTAATATAAAACTAGATATATCTCTGACAAAACAAAAAGGAGATGAATTCTGGAGAATGAAATAATTCCTCTCTCAATTAAATGCTTTCTTTAATGTCAAAAGTTGCAAGTGAATAATGATCTCAATTTGGATGTCTATTAGCCCATAGTAAATGTTGTAAAATTATATAATCAGGAGTGTTTCAATTTGAAGATAGAATGCTGCAATTTTATAGTGGCTTGGGGAAAGCTACCCTGCATTCCCTGTTGCAAGCAAACCACTGTCACTCAGCTGGCACTTCCATGCATTTTATGGTAAGGGAAGCAGAAAGTTCAGTTGCTTTTATTTGCTTTTATTTGCTTAATGAAAATGTGACCTTCACGGGCTTTACACTGATAATCCTGTGTAATGTATGATTGAAATATTAAAAAAAAAAAAAACAGGCCAATTCTTTTTTTCCTAGCTGAAAAAGGTGCCTGTAGCACCAGGGCAAAGGGCTGTAGGTGGCCCTGCTTGAGCACGATTGGGCGAGATGATCTCCACAGCTTCTTTCCAACCTCAATTCTTCTTTGGTTTCAAAATTATTTCATACAAGTATTTTACTGGATTCTATCTAGAAACTTTTTGTCATGCCCTGGAAAATGTAAAACTTTGCATGCCTCTTGGAAGAGGAAAAAAACACAGTTTCATTTTCTCCTTTCTTAGGCCTTATTGGGCTTTGCAAGATCCCACCATCTTTCCTGAACTAATCCTACAGGTAGATTGTTTCATCTGTTTAAAATCAGAAATTTAGTCTCTTTGATTTCAATATTTTTTAGTGTGATTGCTTTTTATTACTTGTAATGTAGCGGCATTTAACCGTTAAGATTGTGCTTGCTGTTATATACAGTTTCCACATAGAGGTGGATGTAATAAGAGTCGAAGATTTTAGAAATGTTAATAAAAACATAGTTCCAAAACTCCAGAACTGAGAATAATAGAAAAGAATTATTTATATGAATAGAAAAGAATTGTAGATGATAGAGATTTTTAGCCTTTCACCTAGCTCTTCTCATTTGTTTTGTGCACAATTCTGCATGGTGGCCTTTTCAGTTTGCATGAGGTAATATTTTGAGGAGTTACTCCACTGTAATACAGTTATTTTTGAAGCCAGTCATAATTCTGTCAAGTTGAACTATTGATATAATATTTTGTACATGGTAAGAATATGCTGAATGATACCCTTAATATGCAATGTTCTTTACAGTGGCTTTTAAGAACTAAAAGCACAAAAAATACATATATAAATACCATAATCTTGACTTGCAGATCACTTCTACTTCTAAAGCTGGATTAGAGGTATAATTTGCAGTGGATTTCATTTTAAATTTAGAGCCTTTAAATAAGTCTCCGTTCTGATCTTGAACCTAGATGATTTGCTTTGTATCATGTTTTGTTCTTCTGGTCCTGCATTTCTCTGCTCTTACGTGTGGCTTGCATTGCCACATGCATAAGGCCAAACCAAAACCCTTGATCATGACTTAAAAATTCTTGTTGCAGGTTGATCAAGTTAAGGAGGGAGGTGTCAGAGGCAGTATTTCACTTGTAGATACCCCTTGTTGCACTGAAATTCAAAACGGGGGTTTAGAAGTGTTTTTTCCCCTTGTTTTCCAAGATGATGGACTGCTTTTGCATCTGGTGAAGCTTTCATGCACATGTATAAGAGAGTTTGATTCTGAGGAGAGAGATTTTAATATTCTCATAATTATACTATTTACTGTGCTAGAGTTGGGGAATCCACATAGAGGTTCTGGATCTAAGTAGTGACTTGTGTTAATGATTGGTAGGAGCAAATGCATTCCTGTGGGGTCTGCTTTTGTTATTGGCAATTTTTTTTTTTTTTGCACTGGGAAAGGAAGCATTCAACTGTCCTTTCCTTGAAATAAGTATTAGCAGTTTTGCACAAAAAAAAATGAGGCAACCAACTAATATAACATGGGGAGAAAAAATTGGCCTTGTGCTGCTGATCTCCTCCTGGGCTCTGGCAATGATGTGAGGCACAGCGAGTGTCCCTGTGTGGCCAAGATGAGGCTGTGGTCGCTGGCGTCCTTCTCCTCGCGAGGTTGGGTGCCGCGCTTGGCCGTGCCGGGTCAGCTGGAGCCTCTGGCACCCATCCTTTAGGTCCCAGGGACTCATGCCTGCATTTCTCCTGTCCCTCCCTATTCCAGAGAGCAGCCCATCTTCACCACCAGAGCCCACGTCTTCCAAATCGACCCCAGCACGAAGAAGAACTGGGTCCCCGCGAGCAAGCAGGCCGTAACTGTTTCCTACTTCTATGACAGCACAAGAAACAGCTACCGGATAATCAGCGTGGATGGAGCCAAGGTAGGAGGCTGAGGGGGCCCCGGCACGTTTGTACGTGTCGAGGGCCACGGCTGTCGCAGCCAGCCATGGACGGGCTACGGCAATCACCTAACTTGAGAAACGCTCCGTTTTTCATATAACTCGTTATAGGCACTTGTAGTCATAAAGCTTCTAATTGAAAAACACGGGGCACATTAAAAATGATTTTACCCAATTTAATTGACCCAGACAGGATTTCATCTCTGGTGGGTTTGACTTCTTTACTATCTTAATGAGCCAATAGCTTTCAGTGCCACAATTGAGTCTGTAGTACAGTACCTAAAACCACCACCTGTATTGAGTAGATAATGTTAAAGCTTTTTTGGTGGCAAAATGTCCTTTTTAAAGGGAACAAAGAGACAGATGTGTGCAGACTAGAGCTTTTAATTTAAATGCCAACTGTATATTTTCTTTCACTTAGTGAAGTGTTTATAGGTTAGCATTTAATTTTCTTCAGTTTTCACAATGGAGTTCATCAGCCTTAGGTGACAATTTTTTTTTCTTATTTTGTCATGCATTGCCAGATAGTATGCTGACATATTTCTTTCAAGAATTTTGATTAGTTGAATTAAATGATGATGGATTAAATTATTTTTGTTATATACTAGAGTCATCCCTCTGATTAGTTTCTCTGAAGTTACTTGTAAGTGACTGCTTTCCCTAGCAGACTGCAGTCAGAGGTATGAGTTAAATTAATTCTTACACAAAATTCACTGGTTATTTCTGTCAAAGCACAGAACACAGAATAACAAGACAAGTTTACAGTTTGTATCTGTGCTCGGGGAGGATGTTAAAACATCACTATCCTGGCAGACAGGTCTCCCAGAAATCCTCCCTTGATAAACCTTTTATAACTGTCATGCCTGTTTCCCGTGCTTCATTTTCTAAGCATCTGCTGTGCTGTACTTGGTTATGTATTGGCTTATAAATCAGCCATACTGCCAGTTTAAATTGATGGTAATGCTTCATTAACATTGGTGCAGCCTTAATATATTACCATCATTACCTTGTTTCTGCTGGTGTGTTCATTTCTAAAACCAGCAGCACAGTGCTGGGGTTTGCAGCCTGGGAGCTTGCAGGGAGAGCTTAGCCCCTTAGATCTGCTTACCAAGAGCTCTTGCTGCTGCCCACCCAATTCTCCTGCTCCTGGTAGTAGCAGGCTGTTGGCTCTGCAAACCCAGGCTAGTGTTGCTTCCGTGCCAGAATGGCTCTGCCGCAGTGGTTTGCTTGACTTACATATGTGCCTGCATGCACTGCGACTAATTAGTGAAAAGAAAGTAATTATCCTGTGCGTGGGGAGGATGCAAGAGGACTACCTGCCTCCAGCCAGAGTTCTGCCCCACGGTGCAAAGCAGATGCTGGGAACAAGAGAAGCATCCAAGCTTTGCATCTTAATCTGCCCAGAAGACATTGGAGAGGCAACTGCCCCCCCGCTGTAGCATGTCCCGGGGGAAGATGAGCCTTCTGCAATTAAAATTTTCCCCTGGGGTGTCCTGAGCAAGGAGTCAATTGCTTGCCAAGTTGATTCTTCCTTTTTGCTAGTTAAGGAGCAGATTGAGAAGAAATGCTGTGTTCAAGCTTGCTTCTAAAGAATCCCTGGTTAGCCTGCCAGCCCGTTTTAAGAGTCCTAAAGGTGCTGACTTGGAAAAAGGAGGTTGTGTGTATACACCTAATGAGAAGGGTTGACTTTTCTCCCACCAATAACTATTTTTTAGCATTTTGACCTACTTTTCTAGCCCAAATGAAACCTGATTGAAATGCAAGCAAGAATACAGATAACATTTATTGATTTGGTCTTGCTTTCTCAACATGCCACTTGTTGGGATATGGTCTTCCATCCAAGAATCTTCTTAATGTGCTGGCAAATGAGAGACAGATTAGCTTTGCAGCATCATTGTGGGTGTAAGTTACCCCTGTTTTAAAGCTAAAATAGCTGAAGTTCAAGTAAAGTAGGGCACTTGGTCATAGAAGGAAAATGGTGATGAAGGAGAGTAGGTATCTCACAGCTCCATCCTTGGTTGACCTGCAAGGTTGCTGTTCTAACAGGCTTTCTTAGACACTCATATAGGGCACATTTCAATGCTTGCAGAGAAATTATATTCAAATGGTATTTATGGTCAGCTGTTGTAGCTGGGGGCCTTTTTGTGTTCCAGGGCTTGCTTGTTTGTTTTACCTTATCGAATCGACATTACATAGCAACAGTACCAATACTTAAAATGATCAAGAGCACAGGATAGCTTGCTTGAACATTGCTTGTTACTGTTATGTAAGCTTTATTTTACTTCTAGGATTCAACATGTTGCTCTGGACAGCATATTGAATTGCAAATGCGCAGAGGAATGTAGGGCTGCTCAAACCGTCGGTGCTGCTGTCACCCAGATGATACGGGTAGGCTGTGCAATGAGAAGTTAATGAATATTTAGCATCCTTCTGAGGTAGCACCAAGCTGATGGGCTCTGCTTGTTGCATGAATGGCTCGTTCAGGCTGCTGCCGCCATCCTCGAAGGTTTGGGGGTGGCCAATGTCCCTGTTCCTCAGTCCATCCTGTCTACATGTAGTAATCTCTGTCTTTCTGTTTCTGGTAGTTTTGGCAAGTGGTGAAAAAGAACAGAAGGGCCTGGCTGGGCTGTGAAGAGGTGGCAAAGACAGAGATGGCAGCAAAGAGGAAAGTGGGGCAGGAAAGTAGTAAGGTATAGAGTAAATTCAGGGAATTTTACTCTTTCTTTAGCAGAGGATTGTGAGAAGCACGTGCTGAAAGCCAGGAATCTTCTGGGATGGAGAGCAGGCACGGGGGATTGTAACCCTACAGGTCAGGTTTCTACCAGAGCTTCCCAGCCCAACAACAACAAAATACTTATAAAAATGCCCTGGGAGTCAAGTACTGATAAGTGGAGATTCCAGAGTCGAAATAGCTTGTACCACTTCAATTTTAAAGATACTGCAATTGCTGCATCTTTAACAGAAGAACAGCTACTTTGGACAGTAGATTGCAATTTATAGCAAAAGAAAATCACAGATAACATAAAAGTATGCACAGGATGATCTTAACCAAGATACTATTGCTAAGGGAATAGATTAGTGTATCTTTTAATTACATTATAATTCACTTGTATGTTGTCAAGGAAGTAATTTCAACATAATGTTTTACAAAGTTTTTAGCCAGAGGCTGTCTAAAATGCAGCACAATAAATGCTAGAGGCAACAGTCCTGTGAAATGCAAAGGCACACAGTGATTCAGAGTTAACGAGGCAGCTGAGGGACTCTCCCATATGAAAATCCTCAGTGTGGTGGACAAAAGTCAGCCTTGCTGAAAAATGACAAAATATGGTGATGGCGAAGGGAGAACATGAACGCAGGAGTGAGCGCCGGGTTGTCGTGCGGTGTGTGGGGAAAGTCACACGCAGAGCTGCTCATTAACACTGACCTACGTTGTGCTGCCTTTTAGAGTGGGAATATTGCTCAGATGGGTGTGCCATCTTCCTCGGGAAAAATGCGAGAGAGTGCCTGGATTGGTGGGTTTGTTCATATTTTTTTTTAAGAAATTGGAAATAGATGTTTCTCATGCAATAAGGAGGTGGGGAGGAAAGGATAAGAAATTATTGTTTCCACATAGAATTTGAGAAAGGAATATAATTCCCAGTCCACTGATAGGCAAGTTTTAAGACTTATTTTTCCCACATATTATGCATCTACAGAACCTTTGATTTTTTCACAGCATCATTTTTATTTTTTGAGAAATAGGAGACATAAAACTAGCTTAAAATTAATATCCATCAATAAACCATAGGACATTAGAGTTCTGTGCCACAAAGAAAAGGAGCACAGTAAGAGTCATCTGAGATGCCAGTCTTAAGTAACTTCCATTAGTTGCTTAGACAGACGAGTAGGAAAAAAAAACAGATGTGAAAACATGAATAGATGAAAAGACCAACTCTGATAAATACATGATACAGAAAGAAGTAGGGCTTTGTGTTTCAGGGAAAAGAAAGTGGTGGCTGACACTTATTCGCAGTTGATAGATCATTTAAAACAGTTTATTATCTAACAATTACCTTGAATATGGAAGATCAGCAGCTAAGTTCAGCGTAATTTTGTTAAGGTACTAAAGAGATAACCAGAAAAAATGGTTGTGCTGGGAAAGCAAATTCAGTGGGTCTATTTTGGAAGCAAATTGCAATTAGTGAGAATAAGCGTATGGGCCAAATTATGCCAGTCAGTATTCACATAATGTTCACCGAAGTGAACACAGTACACAGTTTGATGAAGCAGCTTGATTTCTAAGTGGAATATGTGCCATATACTAGGACATGTCAGTGAAGATCATCCCTAGAAGAGATAATGCAGTACTGAGAGCAGCATGAAGCTTCCAGGGGCAGAGCAGTCTGGAAGACCCAGAATTCAGCCCTAGCTGCAGTTTGTCACAAATATTTTGGGAGGTAAGAACAGGTGATGTGTAAATCTGCGGATATTTGATGTATTTCTGGCTTTCTCAGTTCTGGTACCAGTTCTAGTTGCTACCTAATTTAATAGCTCTGCACCGCTTCATGACCACGCTTCTTTTGTTCTCATGAATGGAGGCTGGCTTCCCAGGTACATTTGTAGGAAATTCTGAGTTCTAGCATTATTGTATTCAGAGATTCAAAACAAATAATTTTCTTTGCCGTTTGAACTGAAATTATTTTAAGACGTAGCCGTTAAAAATATTCTAGCATATTTTGCCAAAAGATGGGTCTTAGATTTAAGGAGCTTTTCTTTCATAAGAGAAAAAAATCGCAGGGTATGATAACATGGATGAAATTCCTTCATTTGGATATTGTTTTTATTTTCCTTGGATTTAAAATCAGTTCTTATCAGTATGAATATCAGGTCTATCAACCAATATCAACTCTTTTTGGTGGGAAACATCTGTCAGGTGATTAAGATATTAGAAAACTTCTGGTGCTTCTGGCAGTGTGAACATTGCAGCGTGTGTTGTCCTTGGA